GAAGTGGCCATGCTCAAGTAAGATATAATGAAAAGCATTCATTAATATGGTAGTTCTGGTTGAAAATGTCTTACTGTGAAAGTCTGTGGGTTGCGTTATTGCAAGTTCAGCAATGCATGAACGAAGCGCAAACCAGAGAAAAATGTGAGAAAGAGTTGAATTTTGTTATTAATATCTGACCACGAATGTTTAACGTTTGTTAATGAAACGGTAGAAAATGAACAACAATATACCTTTCCTGAAATAATCATTCTTGACCACAGAACTCGGATATCTCACTTTTCCATATAAAAAGAGATGGTATATTCGGATAACGGTCTGTGGATGTCATGCAGTTATTCTCTCATTGATTGAACCGGTTACATATTTAGTAGATTTATGTTTGTACAACTTATTGCCAATAAAAGTAGATTTTTCCTCTTCAAGCCCATTATGTTATGAATATGGGAAGAGGTATGAAACCATATGATTTAAAAGCAACAATGTTTAATCAAGAAATAGATATGAAATGTTTATTTTTAACACATTATTTACCTATATCCTTTACAAAAGCAGGATTTGAGATTATGTATAAAATTCTATAGTAATTTTATACAGGAGTTGCTGTTGGTCATGCTAACAAATTTAGTTTTGATGTATCACTCATTATGTCTTTCATGCAGATATAGTCGGTATTTGTTACCGAGAGTGACGTACCCTTCAGAGTTGAAGACCCAAAAGCATGCTATTATGCGAACCCAAAATTCCGAACTTAACCTTTCCCCTTTCCTACCTTCTATTTATTACCTAGACAGGGTGTAAGTCCCCCTGTACCCCCCATTTATTATCACTTCATGCCAACTTACACAAAATACGATATTAAGAACTCTGTGTGAGGTTGTTGCAGATATTTTTATCATGGTAAATAGTAGGTCAATGCAATTGTAACTGTTTTATGGTCTATAAAATGATAGTGTCCATTTCCCTCTATCTTTGTGCATCACTCTTGATAACATTAACCACATAGTTAAAGTTGTAATGATGAAAGTATCAACTCGGGCAGCCACTATGACAGTGGCACATCTTTTTAGCACTCTAGCACCTACACAGTAATAATACAATAAGTAAAAATCCAGCACGTAGAGCTCTGGCTGGTTCCATATTTGATGAAAAATTGCCAGGAAGGCCTACAAGAGCTTAGCACCCAAAATTTTACATGATAGAGGTTTGTTGGCCTTTCACGTGGTTTTATATACATTCAGAGGTCACTACAATTTCATGACACTGCACTCTAATCATTATTGATGTTGTCGCTTAGGGTATTTCTGCATACTGAAAATACTATGTCAGGACAGTATACATCTAATCCAATTCATTAATTCTGTTGAAGAACAGGTTTTGTATAGGACAATGGATGATGTTTAAGATTAAGCAAATTTTTGTCTACATCAGGTTTTTGAGCTTTTTTTGAAGATTCATGATGTTGTCACTAGGATTACAAGTAAAAATTCAGCATTATTAACAAATAGTGTGTACTGCCTAAATGCATTTGGTTTTATTTGAGCAAGATGCACACAAATCAGGCCACCACTATTTGATATGTTCTTTATTTATTTGATAACTTTATGATATCATTTCTGCAACAGAAATGATATCAAAATCAAAATACACTAAGCAAAAGGTATGTTACAATTATAGTCACATTTCATAACATGAGATTGAATCTAATTCTATATATACAGCCACACCTCAACATATTTATATATTGCATCCTCCTTTTTATATTTATTATTTTCCTTAACACATTCCACTGATGAGTCATAGTGCATTATTTTATTTTGTGATGTGAACCACTGGTGGTTTGAAATTAGAAATTCATAACTTTTTATTTTTTTTCATTGATTTGTTTCCAATTTCATGCTGCTTAGATATTAGTTTATAGATGTTTAACTATATAGTGAACAAAAATATGTTAACATAACTAAGTCCATATGAAAATAAACACAAATTTAGGATACAGACCACCATTATTTTTTAAAGAAACCATCAAAAGTATACATATATATATTTCTATATATTCCATGATAGTGTCAGTGTGTTACTAACATTTCAGACCGGGGTACCCTTCACACTTGTACACTTTTCTCCTACCACGCTTGATGATTTTCACAATTTTTTTTCTTATTTTTCTTAAATACTGAGCCTTGTATATAGCTTCAACTTGATGAATTTTCACCAAGACTCACAGAGTGTATGATTGCTAGTGGGTCATATTACCAGGACATTGCAATTATTTTTACCAAATTTGATTTGGCCCACAGGTCTATGCATTTTTATGCATCCAACAGACTGCAAAACACCCAAATATCAAGTACCTCTTCTTGTGTTGTTATCATGTGCTATATTGGGACAGGAAGGTTTTTTCTATTCACATTAGTTGGGAGTTGGCATCCCCACCAATCGCAAAGAACGTGTTAATCTTATCTTATGATATGAATCTTACTAAATGTGGAATATATGT